CGGAACGCGGCGGAACCGCGTTCCGGCACCTTTTTCCGGGCCGGCCGCACCGGAAATAGCCCCTCCCACACCGGAAATAGCCCCTCCCAAATTTTACTTGCATTCCTGTTCTCTAAAGGGGCGGTCCTAGGGTTTGATGAGGGCGTGGCCAGGTTTGAGTTCCGCCACCTTTTCTCCGAGAAAAAAAGCCCTGGATAATTGTTTCCAAAAAGAAAACATGGGTCAGAGCTGTGCCTTCAGTAAGGCTCCAGCCCATTGTTTTTAGTTAAGATATGCAAACTCTTGCTTGGGAAGGATCCACATTGAGGGTCTTTCCTCTGTTTCTCTATGTCCATGGGTTTGAGGGCAATAGAAGAAGGTCATGACAGAGAATGAGGTGGCTGGATGGAGTCACTGAAGCAGTAGGCGTGAGCGTAAATGGACTCCAGAAGATGGTAGAGTGATACGATTGGCCCTTTCCAGGGTGATTTGCGGAACCGGTGATGTACGATAGTCGGATTGACTATCGGGCCTCGCACGCGGCTTTAAGAAGACACGGACAACATCTTCCTTTGGTAAGGTGTGTAGAAGCAGGAGCGAAAAGACCCCTTGAGTTCTTACGCACCTACTTTTATTAGCGTACAGCAAGTATGGGAGTGGTTACATATCAGGAGGAGGGGAACATTTCCTTACTTCCATATATGGTCTTTTTAGTGCCCTTTAGGAAATGAGGAAGTCACCTTAGGCATACGTGACATAGCTGTTGGTCACGTAGGCTGGCTGTTGTTTGAAAAAGTACTTTGCGATAAGCAGTGATACATTGTGGAATGTACTGATACATTGTATAGAATATTGCAACATCTCCTCTGTTTTAGTTTTATAAGGGCAAGCCTCTAACCTATTCCTTGCTGCCACTTACCTCCTCCGAGGCGAGTGATTACAAGTCCGTAAGTATCCGAGGATCCCCTTTGGCTGTATAATATGTGACAGAGTTATGTTCAGTATTAAACGATTCAGGATCTGATAGAGTCAGTAGGGCTATTTTTTCAGGTGTTGTTTCAGTAGCCTTGATTTTCTCATACCATGTATTGGATGCTAACATGACATTAATTTTTGAAATGTTGGAATCGAGACCGTTTAACCGATC